CTGCTCTACGGACACCAACTCATCCAAAAAAGGCCTCAACCTATTGACCAGACATTTGGCTATCACCTTATATATGACATTACAGACACTGATAGGCCAAAAATCAGTGAGTCGGGACGGCGAGTCAATCTTGGGGATCAAAACAATGACCGTACTGTTTATCCCGTCCGGCATGACTCCATACGCAAAAAATAATTTAACCGCATTAATTATGTCATCCTTCATCACCGCCCAATGCCGCTGGAAGAATCTCGCGGGGAACCCATCCGGCCCCGGCGCCTTTAGGGGCCCTATCTGGAATAGTGCATTAGAAATCTCCTCATCGGTAAATTCCTTGCGTAGATTATTGTTCATCTCCACAGACACCTTGGGTTGTATAAGCTGTAACACATCATGTGGATCCAACATTGGGTCAGCTGTGAATAAATTATGAAAATAACATTTTACCATCTGTAGCATGGTGGCCTGATCGGTGTGCATAACACCCGCCTCATCCGCCAGCCCACGGATTTTGTTCTTTCTCGCTCGCCAAACTGCCTTCCTGTGGAACATCTTGGTGTTACGATCCCCTTCCTTTAGCCAATCAATCCGAGATCTCTGGAGCCACAACATTTCCTCCCTGTATAACAACTCATTCATCTTGTCCATCTCCAGTCTTATTCCAGCTCGGTCTACATTCATATTGGTTAGTTCCTCAAGCCTAGTACATGACTTCTCTAGCTCACATGTAACATTGCCAAAAGTTTTATTACTCCAAGTGTGTAGATCAGCCATAATAGTAGCAAGGGCCTCCCTTACATCTCCCAGGTTCCTCTTAGTACCTTTGCTTGACCAAGAATTTGCGATAATGGCCTCTAACGCCGGCGATCTCTCCCACATCAACTCGTACCGGCGTCTGCTGCGAGGCCGCCTATCCTGTTCCAGCGAGAACTTGAGGAGTAGCGGACTATGGTCCAACGCCGGTGACACAAGGTGTGCCACCGAAGCTTGCATAAACATGTCTCTCCAGTCATTGGACGCCACCGCTCTATCCAGCCGAACTTGGACGTTCGCCCGGCCACTCCGCCTATTATCATATGTGAAGGGGTGCCCTGAAAAACCAAGATCAGTGAGGCCACAAGCTTCAAGTGCATCCCGAAAATTAATCATTTGACCAGCAGGTCTCGGAGTTTCCGATTGATGCTCAAAATCCCACATAGCCTCATTGAAGTCATCGATAATCACCCATGGCAGAGCGCTCTGAGCATGCAGACCTTTGAGCTTATCCCACATCATGTGTCTATTTTCTACTCTCGGTTCGCCATAAACAAATGTAGCTCTCCATAATGGCTTGTCCGGTGACACACGCAAATACACGTCAATCAATCTTTCGTTTGCTTCTTGCACATCGACATACATAGACTCATGCCAGAATAGTGCTAGGCCGCCACTACGACCATTACTACTGACTCCTTCAAAACCAGAAAGCCCTGACCTATTACGCAAATGATACATCTTATTTTTATTCTTCCTAGTCTCAGACAAGAAAACAAGACTTGGGGAATGCGTCATAACAAGAGACGCGAGATCACGAACTGTCGAGGGATTCACCGCCCCCCGGCAGTTCCAACTTAGCCAATTCATTGCTCCTGACAGGGCGGCGCACCTGACCCCGTCAGTTCACCGGCGGCCCCAAGGCCGGTTGCCTCCACTCCATCCATGTTATCCGAGTCCATCTTCTCCTCATCTTGGTTCTTGCCTTTGCCACTCTGCTGAATCTTCCCTCATTTCTGCTTGTTGCCAACGCCCCTCTTTGCATGCACCACCATAGCTCCCTGGTTGGGATTCAGGTCGTCGGACGCTTGCCCACGTGAAAATCTCTTCCCCAGAACAGAATCAGCCTCTTGCATGTATTGATCGGATTCAACAGATAAGAAATCCGAGGTGTCGTGAAAGTTACGCATGGACGAGATCATATCCTTGCTCCCAAGGTTGCTGTTGTGGCTCGCCTCACTCCCAGGTGGGCTTATTGAAAGTGGCAGGGGCGCAGGTATTCTACCTCCAAGGAAGACGAACTCTGGAGGTTCAGATGATGCCCGCACCGTACGGACTCTGCTGGCCTCAGCTCTCTGCCCAGCCAAGTGTACACGCATAGCTAAAACACGATCAGAAAGGTATGTATCCATGTTGTGTCCGTCAGAGCTGCTGTGTTCGCCAAAACCGTCATGAGCATCAACCCGTATTGGTATCTCTGGTGTTTGCTGCTGCTCTTGATTTCCCTTCCCTCTGCGCCTCTCTCTTGGCTTTCCAAGAACCTCAGAGGGAGCATTACTAGCAAAGTTCAACCCCCGTCTTGCTGTAGGCTGGGTTCCGGGCGCCACAAACGCTGATCTATTCTCAAACTTTCTATACGGAGAGCACCGCAACCCTTCATCATATGCTCGGGTCGGAACACCCAACCTTTTCTTCTCGCACTGGTTTCCATCATGGCCTATGAATCCACACCAGAAGCAGTAGTGGGGCACCCTCTCGTACCGGAGTGGGTAGATAACTTGTTTCGTCGGGTCCTTGCCCATGGTAATTTTGGTCTGGAGCCGGCGGCCAAGTGGCAGGTCCACACGGATACGCAAGAACTCGCGAACCCTGCTCCCATCAGCCTCAGCATCCACCTCCATGACGGTACCCAACAAGCCTGCAAGAAATTCGCCATACGCAATAGTCTGCTTTCCCCACGGAACGTTGTATACACGGACCCAGATCAGGACTGAATTCAGTACAGCCTCAGAAGGCTGCTCTCCTTCCCTGAACGGGCCAACAATGAGTGTGTTTCCCTTGAAAATCCAAGGTCCTCCTCTTTCTACAAAGTTGTAATCTTCCTCGGAGAAGAAGGTCACTGCATACCAATTTTTCTTAATCCTTGCAATATTGAGGCCTATTCGTACCTTCCAGACCTCGCTGAAGTGTTTCGTCATGTCATCGACGTTTGGCCGCCCGATGCTGATGTAATGGCCGAGCAATCTCCACCGCGGCGGCGCCGCGACCGGCTCCACTGCAGGTTCCTCCTCCACAACAACATCATCATCTAGGTTCACCTCGCTGCCAATACTGACCTCTGGACCATCCAGCCCCACACTTTCCCTCTCATCCTAGTTGCTGGTGTGATCAAACTCTTTCGCCGGCTCGATCTGACCTCCGGAAATCTGCGCGGGCACCATCACATCGCCACCGAACGACTTCGGGTGGGTAGGGACCTCATCGCCCCCCCCCCCCTTTACACCCCCATAGCCAGCGGACGACATCGACGGAGAGCG